TTCCGTCTATAATTTTCCAGTTACGAGCGAATCGTGTCGTTAAGGGGGTGCCCATTATGATCGATAGCGGGTCTCCGGTAAATTGTCATGCAAAACTCCGCACCGGAGAACCGTCGAGCGCGACCGCCGCGCCATTAAACGGAATCCTGGTGCGCGTAATCGTCAAGTAGGCCTCGTCTCTATCAATGATTCATCGCCACGTAGGATGGTCACACTGGTTACACGCGAGGATGCAGGTCGCCGCGATTCGTCTTGGGCGAGCGCTCGACCGCGTGCCATTGCCTGCCCTCCGCGCAACCGGTACTCCGACAAAAAATATAATCGAGATAATAAATCGACGCGTGGACACGCAGGCACCAGGTTCCCCGCGAACGGAGGAGTCGCCGGTGCGAACGGTACGCCCGGCGAGATAGATAAGCAAACGATCAACTTCTATTTCAAGATACCGCGCGCTGGCTAAGCGGAACAATCGATTGCTTCGTCAGCCGTTGGCGATGCGAGCCGGCCATTAACTCGTTGCTTCATGACTCCCTTATCTGATCGCGGTTACTTTAATTCGCAAGAATTTCCCGGTAGAAAAGGAAACCGTGTGCCCGCCGGAGGAGCGGGGTTGCCGGAAAAGTTAAACAAGCGGAAAATCGAATTACCGTTCATGAAGTTAGATGGATAAGAGTGTTTAGCGAACACGCGGATTTATGTTATCGATAACATGACTGGAATTGCCTGTATCGATCTTGATTAGTATGTACGTATCCTAATTCGCTGGTTCGGAAGCTATAATGTCTATACGAGTGAACATCTATTATACGAATGTTCAACGAAGTGCATAAGGAATTTCTGTGAATTCAGTATTCATCTTTTGCACTGTGATCAGAAGAATGAATAATATTCGAATATGAAGGGATCGACGTTTCCCTGGTATGGAATTCTATTTTCTAATTGTTACGAAGTTGCTGGAAATTTAAAGAGTTATTAATTACTTGGAAATAATTAGAAGAAAACTGACGTATCAAAGTATTTAGTTGGTAGGTAAATGATAGTGTAACTTAAGAATTATGATACCAAATCATTGCTAATTAATTCCAGTAGCATTTACGTTTGTCATAATACAATCAGTAATGTTATACGAAACGCTCTAAATTCTCGTGGCGGTCAACGTGTTAACAATAAAGTAGCTGCAATCAACGGAGTCGCAAGGAAACCACGAGGCGAGGGGGAAACAGCGTCGAGTCTCGGCAAGTTAGGAACGTACGGATCGATCCGTCGGCGTTTCGGTTGCCATCGGGCCGAAGTTTCCTGGTTGAGCGGTAGACCGGTAAACGAGGAAGGCGGCCTAGCTCTCGCGCGAAGGATTTCGACGACGAACGAGGCCAAGTTCGTGGCCGACCTTCGTCTACGCGGGTCCCAGCAGGGATCGTGACTTAAAAGCGGGGCCGTGTGTACTTTCGATCGCGCGGCAACCAGCCTCTGCCTCTTATCCGCGACAGAGAAACGGCACGTCCGTTGAATTTCACCGACCTAAAAACGATCCGTTGGTTTCGTTCCCGCCAGTTTCGTGAATTTCGACGATAAACCGACATTCGGCGCGGAACAAAACGATCTGGAACACGAGAACTCCGTCTCGCGAGGGGACGAGCATCGATCTGATCGGAAGACTACCAGCTCCGGCGGTTTGACTTCGGTGTACCGTCGTTTATTACCAACTTTCGACTCATATACCGAGGGTCAACGTTAATTAATTTAAATTGGATATTATACGCGATGCTGACGACGCTTCGGATTAATTTATTCGGGAAGATAACGAGGTGCGCTATGCTGAAGTTTGAGTAGTCGGGATTGAACGGCTTCGAGGACCCTCGGGAGGGCTAGAATAAAATTGTGAACACCGAGTATATAGCAACAATACCGCAAAATAATGTTCCTCACGGTGACGGTTTATGCGGCTAGGCATCGCGGTACTCGCTCAGCTTTTTTATCCGTTCATTCCGAACAGCGTGCCCGTTAGTCCCCGCGCGTCTCCCGGGGCATTAGCGTAATTTCGCGTAACACGAGCAGCACTTTAACCCTTCGCGGAAAACGTCACGGTTCTACGATAATGCGAACGATTATGAACGCGACGGTGATGTTGCGAACAGCATCGAGTGCTTCCTTATACGGCGATCTGTGGTTACGTCGTGTTTGTTGGAAAGTAATGCCGACTTTTCATCGCGATGAGGTAAACGGTTACGCGAGGCTCGCGCGCCTTATGAAAATAACATTAGTGTTTTTGGGCTTGTTCGTTCATGGAGGATATTTGTGCGACTTTCGTCTTTCTTTGGCATTTTAATTACAGTACGCAGAATTCAATGCGAGTTTTAAAGTGTAAGCTTACGCAACGGAATTACGACGCATAATTAAGCGAACGAACGGCAATGCCGTAGCAAACTAATTTACTTGGAAATCCGCGAAACCCACATTAGTTTCCTGTTGAATCAATAGATATTGGTTTAGTAACCAACACACGTGTAGCTCGATACCACCTGAATGTTATCCGGTCCATTTAGGAGAAATTACTAGAGCGAAAGTCACAAACAGACAACCGTTATGCGATGCTCGATCGACCCGAATACATATATATGTATATATATAATATAGAACTAGGACCTAGATAAATATTGATGCTGTAGCTAAGAACCGATCGGCGTGTTCATTCTTGAAATGATATTGACGAAATAATTTGACGAGTACCCGAGACAATGTAACGAAGCAATCCCGTACAAGAGATTTATTTACAAATTTACCTTCCTAAAGTGTCCTTCGAAAAATCCTCAATCACAGTGATCTCCGACGAAGCCACGACGATCATGGTAAAGCTGCTCTCCCATATCTCGACGTTGTCAAACGAATATTCTCTTACTCGAAAATCAAACTTCCGTCTTCACACCACCTTCCTTCACAACTATCCAATTCCAAAAGTCAGTTCTTCCAACAGCAACTTAGTAAAAAGTATACTCCATAAACAAACGTTCGATTGTCGACTCCTCTGTCTCTGGGTTACGGTGCGAACGATCTAGATCACTCCCGGAACCACCGAATATCACATAGACACCGGTGCCCGGCGAGGGCAAAGAACTACCGCTGCCAATTAATGCTGCACGGATGGATATGCTAATACAAGTGGAAGGTTGAGGTCCGCGAGTCGGCACGCCGCTCAATATTCATCAGGTCCGCGACCCTAGGTCAGTAACGAGCTTCTCCGAATGCCCGGAAACAGCTACCGGAGTCGCTCGTCAGCGTCGAAGCGCCGTGACGAGTGAAGGATTTGCTCACCCTTCAAGCGTCGCCGGTGCATGCCGGTTCACCGACGTGTCCCCGTTGATCCGACGCCTCCACTGCAACCCCCGGCGATCCTGACGTGTCCCTCTTGAAACCTTCCTTTGACCTCTTTCGAACCTAAAGTCTTCCTTCTCCGATCGAAGCCCTCTCTTTCACTTCCTTCGATCCTAATTAGTATCTTCCGCGACCGAAACTTTTGACCTCTCTCGATCCTAACGTCTTCTCCTACGATCCAAGCCTTTTCTTTAACTCACTTCGATCCTAATTTGACTCCTCCGTGATCGATACTTTCAACCTCTTTCGATCCTAACGTCTTCTCCTGCGGTCGAGGCCTTTTCGTTGACCCCTTCCGATCCTAAGTATTCCTCCTACGGTGGAAACGTTTCGATCGACCTCTTCTGATCCTAACGTGTTTCTCCAGCGATTGAAACCTTCCTTCGACCCCTGGTAATCCCAACGTGTTCGTACAGCGATCCTCCGCGTCACATTTCTCGAATACCACCGAGTCACTGGGACGTTTCCTCGAACTGAACTGGCTCCCCGAAACAATCACCGCTCGCGAGAACCATCCTGAGACTAATCGTCGTCTGTCCCCGCCTGGTACCTGTCCGCCGAGCCTCGTATATCCGTCCGCGGGTGAAACGCAAACACCGGCCGGAGCTTCCTGATCAAAGGAGGCCCGTGAAATGAGCGACGCTTCTAGTCGCGTGACGCGGCGAGCCACGGAGCACACCGCCGATGCACACCGTCTGCACTCTTGAAGGGGAGAAGAAGAAGATACGACTGAAGGTGCTCCGCGCCGCGTTCAAGGCGCATTCACCTTGGATCCACGCACCTGTGTGCACGCGTGACCGAATCGTAGCTTTCTCTCTCTCTCTCTCTCTCTCTCTCTCTCTCTCTCTCTCTCTCTCTCTCTCTCTCTTTCTTTCTTTCTCTCATTCCCTCTTTGGTCTCCTCGTTTTATCTGATACACGGACCGCATCCGCTCGTGCCACGTCCAGATAAAAGAATTTTGGGACTTTTCGGTGGGACGATGTTTAGCTACGGAAACGTTGGCATTCTTGTATTCTTGATAGTAGATACACGTAACCGAATTGAATATTAATTTCATAAACATTATTCAGTAAAATTTCATGTCGGTTTTGATTATTTTAAATGCTGTATTCTTCAAGGTCTATACGATTGTACGCTTGGCTTCCTCGAAATTATTGCGACGTGCCTACAGGAGTAATTATTGTACTTGTTGCTTCGAAGTTGGTAAAAGGACGATCCATTAGTTTGTCATTAAATCGTTCGTTTCGTGCATCACGAAAATAGTGAGTTCTGTGATCGCTGCACGAATGCCCGACGAATTCCTCCACGGTTCACTTCCGCAGAGGTAATTCTACCTCTGTGAACGATAACGATCGCGGTTCGAAGGTCGCCGGTTATCGTGCGTGACCGGTTCCAAGGTGGCAGGAACCGTAAAAACGCGTACCCAATGAATGGTGAGGCGAGAAAAGAATTTCTCGTCGATTCGTAGTGTGCAAATGCACCGGGAACGAATCCGAGTCCCAGGATTTTCAGGTTCATGACGTGGTCTCGAATGGACGCTACGTGTCGGGTTAATCCGCGGCCGTGTTAATTGGGCAGCTTTACTTTCCATGACGTTCACGCTTATTTCAAGCGGCTGTCCCGATGCTTTCGTCAGGCTTTCGTGACTGAGATATGATCGAACCAAGGAAACATGTACTGTAATTTTCAAAACGATTCTGAACGTTCTTTGTCTTTCACGTAAGCATCCCTGTCGCTTCTGACGACGCGAAGAACACTGTAATTAAGTAGTGAAAGAAGCATCCCTATTAGAGCACGGAAGAAAAATGAACCACTGTAAGAAGCAGACTCAACTTATCTGCGATTACGCTGAACTTAAAATTTGAGTAATTTTCCTATTAAGTTACGATGATTATTCGAAACAATTTGAACGTTTCCGCGAATCACGAAGGGTTACAGCGGAAAGGGCTGTTTTCAACGGGCGCGTTGATAAACCCTAGACGCGTTCCCGGCCGGCGTGAAAATTCCGCACGCACGGCTGCCGAAAGAACAGGAAAACCGGGAGAAAAGGGCAATTAAGCTCATCGGAAGGAGACCAGACGGTCGGACGCGACTTTAAATAGTTCCGAGAGTCATTAAAATGCCGTTAATCTCGGTAATGAGAGCGCGGGCGTTGACGGAGTTTTAACGCAATTACAATATACGCCGTGCAGTCACACTCTGAATACGATGAAACTCGAGATTTAAATAACGTCTGCGATCCTGTCGGGTGATACAGTTCATTCCGTCCGGGTGAAAAGAGCCCGTGGAACGTGCACCCGTTGTATCCGAAAAATCTGTTAACCAAATCCGTGGAGTTTCACCGGGCGCGATTAATCTGCCATCGAGTGTTGTTCGAGCGACGCGATATCTCGTCGTGCTCGTCCGACGTTAAAATTCACACTTCGAAACGGGACGGTTGCTTCTGTTTCCCATGGAAAACGGACCTTTCGCACGTTCAAGGGAGAAAAGTTACGGGTGCTGTATATTCGATGAGAGTCCGCCCACGGGAGGGTTGATTTTATTGGGGCATTCGATGCATATCCAATTAACGCACAGGAAATATCCGGCGATGCGTTCGCGGCGCGTTTTCAACTTTCTAGCGCGGCGGAAGGAAGAAAAGGGATACGGTGAAAATTCAGGGACGATGAAAGACCGATTAGCTTTCTAATACACGGATGCGCGCGATGTCGAACAAATTCATCTCTCGACAAATAATCTCGCAGGAGCTGTGTGATTAATTAACGACGTCCGGCTGGGTGCGCGATTGATTCGTGGATAACTGTGAAACGCGTATCACGATGTGTAACGGAAGAGTCGTGTGTAAAAATCGCACACGCGAGATCTTATGGAGGGCGAGTGTCGTGTTTCATCTAGTTTGTAACGATGCTAATTGGTTCGATATTTGTGCTAGTCGCGTATCGATGTTTCAAGCGATAACGGGAAATATTCTCGTTTGGAAAGTTGGAGAAAAATCGCAACTATGTCGCGATTCGAATGTATCAATTTATGTAATGATATATGGCCGTTACGAGTTGCGAAAAAGAATTTAACGCGCGGCAACCCGGTGTTTAAGGTAACAAACGTTGTACAAGATTGCGGACGGGCAACTGATAGCTTGACGGAATGCAGCGGAAGTGTTTAATCGCGACGGGACATTAATCTCGGTGACACGCACGAAATGTTGACCGCAAAAAAGAGCGGTTTCTTATGATCCCGGCGAGCGTAATTTTAACGTTAAACCGCGAAATGCCAACGAGTACAGCATTGCGTTCGGTAAGATTGTTAATTACACCGATACGAAATCGTTACAACGTAATATCGCTGGTTTACCGGTACGTGGTTGCGCAAGTGCTTGCATAATGCTCGGGCCATTGAATGACACCTCAAGTGAGAAGTCCTAATTAGGCTCGATTTAAATGGGGAACTCGCGAAATTAAGCTGAGCATAGTCTTTCGAAATCATCACCGTGAGCAGCGAAATTCTCATTAGCAGGAAACAAAGAGAATTACACTGGACACCGAAGTCTAATCTAAAAGCAAATACTAACCGTAACTGCGATGGAATTCTAAGTTACGAAAATCTTAACGGACAAATATCAAGGAAGCACAACTGTACTTCGACTTTCTACAAATTCTTTCGCCACTTCGCTCGTTACAACTATCATTCCGGAAACAAAAAGGATTCCGTATTTTTCTATATTTACCTTACAAGTCAATTGAAAGATAGTGTTCACTGCAACAGGAAAATAATATTCGCATTCTCGAAACTGAATATAAATATCCGCCGCGAATCTGACGCGACGTTGCAAACCACAGGCTAAATTCGTTCGTGAATGTCCAGTAACCGGCAGCAGGATTATAATTTAGCGCATGAAACGCTGCGTGACTTCCGCGTACGCACGTTGCACGGCGAAAAACCTCAAAGAGCGGTCAAATCGAAGAACCAAAAGAAAAAGGAAGCCCGCGAGCGGGTTTACGTCCAAATTCACCGGCGACCAGTTCTCAGTTTCACTCGGAACGAAGAAAGTTCCATATAAATGCGCGCCGCGCCGCGCCGCGAGCAGCTATCGGCCGCGACATATGGCGCGGTGCAATGCATGTGTATCAGTAAAAATAACGGGATAACGGGATAGGATGATCTTCCAGTGGAACTGGTTTCCGGGATACTGTAATGTCGGCTTCAATCACGCGGCGGTCCTACATCTGGGAGGGAGGAGGTTGCTGGTCACCCTATTAAGTACCGAACCACGGATGTTTAGGTTCCTCCGAGCACCATAGGATTAATTGAACCCCACCGGCGTCAAAATGCTGTTGAGCGACAGTGACTTTCATTCTCTTGCAAAGTGAGAGTCTAATTACGCTCTTCAATCTTAACACGTTGAACGCCGTGGGGTTCACCGGTGACCCCAAACCAAATCGAATGATTATTTGGAAACTTCCATATTAGAAACAATGCAACTTAAGACGACGACGTTCGGCAAAATAACTGTGCAACAACGATAACGCAATTCAATCGAATACTTCGATATTATATTCCTTCGTGTATCATGCTCCGTAAAATCGTTCGGCATTCAACGTGTTAAACCAGCGGAGAATTACGCGAAGAATGGACACTGCCGGTAATTAAACGGGACAAGGAGCAGATTAATAACACAACGAATACAATATTTCCAGTGAATCTTCGAATTCGATTCCTCGAGTTAACTGTTCCACCGTGATTCATTTCCTAGTTTCCCCCTTGCAGTACCAGGAACTTACGAAGTTTCTCTATTAAGAGGCGACGCTCTCCGCAATAGGAAAAATGACTCAATTACTCGCCGGGGGGACAGGTAAAGAAGCAATTATTCCCATAAAAGTCGGAGCCGTTAACGGTAACAACTTTTGCGACGGTAGTTTCACGCGGGCGACCTAAACAGTTCCACTCGAAACCGTTTCAGACCGCGAACCGGCTGCGAGCCCTCTTAACGGCACGGATTTATATTTCCGCGCATAAATCACGGGATTCGCGCATTTTGTTGTATCCACGGCGAATTAAGGATAAGACGGAGGACCGTAATATTCAATTACGGCCGGCGTTTCATTGCTTTACGCCGACTTTCACGGGAAATAAATGGAAAGGGATCGGGCGATGAGTTATGGACGCGCTTCCGGTCGTTCCGGAAACGGACTGGGGCAAGTCATTCGTTATTACCGGGGCGAAGTGTACCGTCTGGCCGGCGTCGGTGCGCGCGGAACGGACTCCGTCGGCGATGGGCGCGTGCTCGACGCTCGGATGCGTCAGATGCGTGAAATGCATTAGACCGCGTGGCACGCACGTGTCTAAAACCAGTTTCACGTGAATCTAAACGGCTCCCGCGAAGCGTATTTCCCACCGGAATAACCGAGCCGCGAGCTCTCCCCCTAACCACCAGCAGACGCGGCGCCGATTCGTCGCGGGCACACCGGACGCCATATCCAGATCGACGGCAACGAACGCGCGAGCGGTTGAAAATGTCCGATACCACCGGTGAGTCGCGTGCTTCCCAGCGATTCGAATCGAATTCCCAGCTCAGTATCGCGCGGAATAACGTTGAAAACGATCCCGCGACTGTTCGGCAACACGGGCAACACGTAGAAATAATTGAACACGGAGGACGTGCTTTCTGCGGCATTGACTTTCATCGTGATTCATGCGGCGCGGTTAACACGTTGTATGTCGTGGTCACCGGTGACCCTCGACTAGATCGAACGACTATAGTTCATCGGATTAAAAGATTATTCGTAAGCATTTCTATATTAAACACTACTATCTGATACAGTGGCAGCTGGATGAATATGCAATAATAACGTGATTCAATTGAATAATTTAATATCATGTTTTCACCATTTCGCGTAGTTTGCTCTATGGAATTGTGTCGCATACAACGCGTTAATATTAAAGGACCGTGTATACCCGGCGACCCTGCTAGATTTATACCGGTACGAGGGAAAATATCCGTTGATATATTAAGACGTCTATAAATACCACGGGAAATTTGTAGGATCCACAATTGTTTCTTGCCACCGTTTAGGTAAGACGACGAGGGGCAACGGATTCTCGCGGCCGGTATCGACTATCGAATTTTAAGGACCGCCTGTCGGCCCGTCTAGAACTTGACAGCACACTGAAGCGAGGCGAAGTGAGGTTAAGTATCGACGTATAGCAGACGACAATTCGCTAGAAATTGGGTGGAACGATGAGATAATGCCACGGAAATCCTCGGGATGTATGAATCAGAGGGTCGGACAGTGCGTGAGCGATCATCGGCTGGATACAGGTGATCTGGTTATTGTTTTCCCGTCGACGGTGTTACGGGGAGTATCGGAAAAGAGTGCGGTATCGGCTCGGGGAAATGTTGACTGGGAGATCGCACGAGGAACGAAGATGTCGTGTAATTTCGGTCAATTAAGCCGTCGGTCGGCTTGTAATTGGCCACGATTCGTGGTAAAAATAAACAGAGCGAGTTGACAGCAGTGCTGGCAGGGTGGCACGAACGTGCGTAGGAGATCATCTCCGACCGAACGGACACACGGCCGTTTCCTATGGAGATACACGTATTTCCCGCCAAAGGCTAGCCGATGAACGTGCACAGACGGCTAGCGCGACTCGGGAATTATGTAACTATTGTTGCACGACTCGTAAATAAAAGCTACTTACCGCTGATCGAGGCGAAAAACGTCAGGATCGCGCGCACACACACACGTTACGCCTCGCACTGCTTAAGACAAACTGCCGTGTCGGGGCGCTGCCGGCCGCCGCCATCTTGGATCGATCAGTCGGCACTCGAAAAGCGCGCTGGTTTTGATTCTCGAATCGCGTGCGCCGCCATTGTGGGACGAGACGGTGATCGAGGTGAGTTAACATTAGAATTACCGGTCGTTTAATGCGATTAATATGATGTAATCCTTATCAAAATTGTAATAATTGATTATTTTCAGTTTCTTTCAGATATCCGTTATAGCATTCAAGCGAAGCTATTTGTTTTCAAGATCGGTTCGAATATTCGGTGCTTTTAATACTTAGGCAACCGACTAGAAAGAACTGTAAGTATCTCTTCCATTATCTTCAATTGAACTCATTCAACTGATTTGGTTGACACGTTCGGTAGCAGCGTTTATTTCGGTGAGGACCTCAATTGTAATATTTTATTCAATCCAATAGACCGTCTAAACAAAATATTGAAGAAATGAAACTGGAACAAGTTATTGAGTTCCTGAGTATAATGCCGTAACTTATAAGTTTAAATAACAATATTTATATGATTAATTTCATTTGCTTTCTGTAAAATATACGATTGCGCCTGTCACAAATATGTGACGCTAGTAGCGAACGTGTTAGAAAGTTTGTTTTATAGAAATAAGAATCGCAAATAACCTCACTTCGAGACTTACTAAACAACAAAGATAAAGAAAACAAAAGGTAATACGTTGGTAAATGAAAAGGGGGGAATGTTAAGGAATAATTGCGGAACGAAATAATCGAGACCAGTTGTTTTTACTGGTGCGTAGATTTAATGTTAAATGACGGAAAATGTACAGGTGGCGAATAATGAAGAAGCCAAGTATTTCTTGCAATCGTTACTTTCATTTAATCTGCACAAGATCGAAACACAAATATTAACGATCGTCGCTCGATACGCGACCGTCGTTCACACGATTCATTCATATACGAATATACACAATGATTCTATATCGTGTCTTCGCAGTTGCAAGTTCAAGGCAATTACACTGACGATTAAATAAATAAACGCCTAGACGGCGTGTCGGTGCGCATACTATTCCTTTGGAAAAGTATAAAAACAAATGGTAATTTCAAAGACGACAAATGCAGAGTTTTATGACTATCTCGAACGAAGACTCGGTTCGAGCACGGATACATTCTATTTTGCTTTCTCTCTCTCTTTCTTTCTTTCTTTCCTCTTCAT